GAAGTGCTTGCTATAGAAGGTCAAGGACTGTAGTCTTCGATGGAGTGAAGCTCAACATGAAGAAGATAAAGGTTCCCACCACTGGCCAAATGGCAACACTATGATAGATGGAGAAGAGATTGCAGTTGTTAGCAATTTTAGCTTATTGGATCAACAATTAAGAGTCTTAACACCAGCAGTCAGGAAATCAAAAGATGAATTGCATTGGGAAAATCTCCTGTTATGGACCTCTCCGGAGTGCTGAAAAGCAGCGATGTTAGTCTAGAGACAAAAGTATGCCTTATTCAGGCCCTGGTCTTCAAAATTACATGTTATATTTCAGAGAGCTGGATGATGACTAAAGATGACTGAAGAAGAATAGATACCTTTGAGTTGTGGTGCTGTAGAAGAGTCTTGAATATACTATGGACTGCCAAGAAAACAAATCTGTCTGTTTTGGAAAGGGTGAAACCAAGTCTCTCTTTGGAGGCTAGGATTTTGAAGGTCTCTCTCACGTACTTCGGACATGTGGCTAGGTGAGACTGGTCCTTGGAGAAGGGCATCAAGCTTGGAAGGGTGGAGGGACAGTGCAGGAGAGGAAGACTATGAGTAAGATGAGTTGATACAGTGACTGGGACAATGGGGGTTGGTGTATTGCAATTAGACTGGCTCAAGACAGGAAAGGGTTTAGAACTGCTGTACGTAGGGTCACTATATGTCACAGGTGACTCAAGGACATGTAACAACAAAAAGATAACTTTTTTTTATTTAAGCCTATTGTTTAGAGTAAAAAAGACCTTGGGGAGGGTCTTTGTGTGTAAAGTTGGTTGTTAGTATATTTTGGAGGAACATTCTTCTAAGTGGTACAGCACTCTTCTGTCAGTATGCTGTACTGAAGTAACCTGGGGTTGCTCTGATGCTGAACTGTGCTATTGTGGTGTCAGATGCCAGAAGGGTTTCCCAGGGTGAGCAGTGTTTGTTGGAACTTCCAGTTTAAGACACGTTGGGAAGCAGGAGTGGCATCCACTTCTTAAACAACATGCCTCTGGAAACTCTATGAACTTTGAAAAATGACAATATTATAGAAAGGCTTCAGGCCTTTTATTCATAGGGTCACTATATGCTCAAATCGATGACAATCAACAACAACAACAACAACAACAACTATCAGTTGTGTAGGGAAATTCTGGTAACCTACTGGGTAAGAAATTGTCTTGCCAGCCAGAAACCAGGCAGTTTGAATTGACCAGTTCTTCCACTGGAGAAAGATGAGTAATACATTCTTGCTGATTTACAGCTTGGCAAAACTGGTAGGAGGGTCAGTTATGAGTCATTTGTGACATAATGGCGATAAGAGAGAGACTTTTCACCTCAAATATTAACTATTTATCAATTTTATACTTATTGTGCATTTTTTTCTGAGGATTAGATTAGATCTCACCTTATTGCTGTAGAATTAGAATTAAATAATAGCTGACCCTTCAGTTGGTTTCCAAGGCTTTAACTTGGATGAGAGGATACTGTCCATTCTTTCTTCCTTGGCATTGCTGGGGGGTATGAACTGCCAAGGAGGGTCAGTCTTGGGATTAGCACTGACTGCAGTGACACCACCGGAGAGAATATGCATAAATATGAGTAGTACAGTACTTAACCCAAGCTATAAATGCTTATGTAATGGTAGCTTACTCTTAGCTATTGTTATTGCCCTGGGGGCTTAGTGGTAAGGAATTGCTGTGCCAACCTAAAGGAGCACAGTTTGAATCCACCAGCTGTCTGTAAGAGAAAGAAGGGCAGTCTCCTACTATTTATGATTTACTGCCTCTAAAAACCCACTGGAGGGTCAGCTACAAGTCAGTTCCATGTCAACGGTACATAACAATAACATGATATTATTAGGTGCTCATAAGTTGAGTCTGACTCATGGTGACCCCATGTGTACAGTGTAGGACTGCTCTGTAGATTTTCAAGACTCTGACCTGAGCTTTTGGAAGTACATCACCAGGTCTGTCTTCTGAGACACTTGTGTATGGATTTTGTAGAACTTCAATATCTAGGTAGAGTGACACAATGATTTTAACAATGGGCTTGAGCATATTGGGAATCCTGAGGATGACACAGGGTAGGACCAACAGATCTGTTGTTTTTAGTGTTGTTATGAGTATTAGGTGGCTTGATGGCACATAACAACAACTTTTCTAGTGGTACTAGGTATACTATTACTGTCACCATTTTCCTTCTAACATTTCTTACCTAAGATACTTTATAAAATATACAAAATTACTTATTTCCTTTTAAAACCTTTTCTTCTATTGAAACTTTATTTTTGAATCACTTTCTGATCACTCTTGTCAATTGGACACGTTTTAAAGGAATCTCTGATGTTTTGCATCTAAGTAACATATGCTAGTCTTAAAACTGCCAAATCCTAATTTGTTTGTTTTTCCAAAAATTATGTCTATGCATAAAATCATTTTTCTTCAGAGCATTTTGAGAGAACAAATACTGAGATCATTAACCTAATATCTCCTTTTCTCTTCTCCTGCCTAGCTGCTTCCTACTTGAGCAGGTGTTTTTCTCCCTTCTCCTTCTCCGTTCTTTAATGTCATCCTCCCAATAATCCCAGTCCCTTCTGTGGAGCAAGGCCCTCAGGTCATTTAGGACATTGTTTTAAATGATCTGATAGGGTAGGTATCCTGAACTACATGCTCTGTGAGTTCTTGTAGATAGAGTACCAAGCATCAGACAAAATTCTTGAAAACCAGCTCAGATATTTTGGATCAGTGCATAAGTTTGAATGAATGACTATAACCAGCATGAGGATTTTTAATTAACAAGAAAAATTTCTGTTTTTGGATAATTTATTTTGTGCTTTAGTCTTAAAATTTATCCACATTGCTTTGTCTTTTTACTATTTTTTTATTATTATTACACAAATCCCATTCTTCTCTTTAAATAATTTGTGATAAAGAATTATGTTACTTAGTATAAGTTTTAGATAATTAATGTATAATAATACCAGCATGGTATAATGTTATTTTTGTGTGAACCAAATATTATACTTTCTTGTATCCCAGAATTGCTGCTTTAACATATTCACAGTTTTTCTGTGTAGTGAGTAACATCTTTTTTAAAAATGGCAAGTGTCTGAAAAAGAGTTCGTTTTGCTTAGTAACAAACTAGAGAGATTTTAGATTTTGTACAGTCTTTTAAAAATTCAGTTCAGGTTGTTGTAGCCCAGATACAATTATTGAATTGATTTCACCTAATGATTTTAATTAGCTGGTGCTAGAATATCAGAATCACCATTATTTTATGCAGTCTAAAATGATTTTGATAATTTCTTACTTGGAGAAAAGTTCTTTCAAACCAAGGAAACTTTTCACATTTAAATTATGTGAAAACCATCATTTTATTTATTGATACACGTAATTAATCAAGATTAAGATGTGATTTAATGCCATTTTTTGAAGTATAATTTATGGAAATTGACATTTGTGAAAATGTTTTTGTAGTTATTTCTTATTATAATAATAAGCAGTAAATAATACTTTAAAGGTGAAATGATAATACTTGTTACTAGATTATCGTTAAAATATTTATGGAATTTATATATATATGAATTATAAGCATGCTGATATTTGTCCCTAACAAATTATTACCTTCTTACTTAGTTTTCCATTAACTGTAGAATAAAGGCTGGCACTATTAAATAGTGCCTGAAACTTATGTCTTGGTTTGAATTCATGCTCATAGTCTGGGAATAAGAAAATTTAGGTCTTAGTATTAATTCTTCTATCAGCTTTCTGATTGTGTTTCTCTAGAGAAGTCATACATCTCTCTAGACCTTGAGTTTTCTCATGTAGTAAGTGAAAAATGAATTAAATATTCTCTTTATATCTCAACATAGTATAAATCCTCAGTTTTTATGATCCTGAAATTTCTGAATTTGAAATATTTTGGGGTCAAAAAAGGGTAAGTAGAAAGCCTAATACTTATAAACAAGTTCAGGTTAATAGAATGGAAACTAAACACATGGTCTTGAAAAAATATTTAATTTTCTGAGAAGAATGAAGTTTAATGGAAATACTTCAGAAAAGATGTTTCAGCAAGCTTTCTGATAGTTGAGCCAAAAGAATAGAATAAATGGACAAGAAGCATATATTAATTGGTTGAAAAAATTCTGTATATGCGGCAGTCAGTTGAAGAAGACCACAGCCTGATTTGATTGATTGAAGTGGTGACTTCGTGCTGTGAAATAATGGGAAAATGAGGCTTTGGAGACTGTAAATTGAAGAAGGGTGTCAATTAGTGATAATGCCTTGAAAGTCATCCTAGGAAGTTTAGAGATGATGTTTAGTGATGAACAGCCCCTGCTTGCTTTTGAGCAGGGGGCCAAAGAATGAAATATGCCTCCGAAAAATATCCCAGCTACTTTTAATAAGATGAAACGAGAGTGAGGAGCTTAACAATTTCATGGAAAGATTAACTTGGGAAGATTGCACCAGAAAATGAGCTCTTTTTGATTAGAAAAGCTGTAGTTTTTTAAAATGAACTATAATATCTAGGCTAGTTGGATTTCCAGTGAATGCAGTTAAAAGATAGCTTTGTGGCCTCCGGGCAAGAAGACATCCAATTCATTATCTTGTCCCAGAACTTGTAGGTATTATTTTCTTCTGTTTTCTTATCCATCCTATATTACTTTGCAGAGAATGAGAAAGATATATCCATTCAATTTTTTCTTAGAACCAAACTGTCGAAGAGATAAACAGCATTTTCAAACTCCAACTCGTGTATGTTTTAAAACAATCATTACATGACATATTCACACATAGATTATTTTCATGCTTGTTAAGTATTTAACATGTACTTGTCATGTGTGTATATATTTCATATATGTAGATTAAGTTTATATTTTTAAAATGAATCTTTATGTCATTTAGCTGTAAAGCTATATTGGTGTTCTGTCGTTGTTGTTGATATAATGGAAAAACTATTTAAATCCTTTCTTTCTTTTTCCTTAGTCTTTTCTAGCACTGGTGACCTTGTTATCTTCTCCTGCTGTGTATGAGCTGGTAGGAAATCAAGAACTTCCTAATAAAGCAGAATATTGTCTTCGTGAGGTTCCAACGTGTATTATTGTAAGTTTTCTTCTCATCTTTTTAAAAAAATAAATGATACTGTTTTAGATTGCTTTTAAAATATAATTTCAGTTATGAAAGGAAAAAAAAGGTTAATTACTTATATTTAAAGGCTATTTTGTTTACATACCCAGGAATTATCAATTTTGTGAATTTTCTGTGAATAGAATCTTCATATCCAGGGGTACATATCAGTCCTTATACCAGTCTGAATAACAGGGTAATGTCCCACAGTTGTATTATATTACCTATTGACATACTACTGTGATTCAGTTCCACTGGGAACTTTGAAGGAGAAAGAGCAACAACCTTTTCCTGTAAAGGTTTATAGCCTCAGAAAATGATAGTTTCTTTCAGTTGGAGTTAACTCTTGGCAGTACTTTCTCTTTAATCCATAAAGAGTCTTGGGATAGTAAAAATATGTATACTAATGATTTTTAACTGATTTATTACTTTATTCGACACATCAATGCTTTTTCTTCACGAACTAATCTAATTAGGAATAAATTGTCTCCAAGGAGTCCATTATACTTCTTGAATCCGTGTTACTGAACTACGTATTATTGCCCCATGAGGGCAGTAGATACATATTTATTTAACTTAAGGCTCACTTCATATGAATACTCCCAGATTATTGACCTGTTGTAATCACTCAGGGACGCTTAATTTTTCATCTTTGCATGAGATGGAATTGAGCACACATGAACATGTGCATATCAGCAGATGTGTATAAGAATAAAAATGACTCAGTAAATTATTCAATTAAGTGCTAAAAGACTTTTATTAAGGATTTTTAAATTTTCTGGTCACTTTGTCTTGTGTATTGTTTATATGGATATGGATATATATGTTACAGCTTGCTCGGCTCCACAATCAACATTCTTTTAGCATCATCAGTCAGGAAATCGAAAGACGAGTTTCACTGGAAGAATTTGCTGTCAGGGACCTCTCTAGAGTACTGAAAAGCAACAATATCAGTCTAGTAACTAAGGTGTGCCTAATCTAGGCTATGGTCTTTGAAGTTGCTTGCTTTGCATTTGATAGCTGCACAATGACTAAGGATGATAGAAGAAGAGTTGATGCCATTGAATTGTGGTGCTGGAGAAGAGTCTTGAACATACCATTGCCTGCCAAGAAAACCAAGTTTCTCCTTGGAGGCTAGGATTTTCGAGTTATGTCTTACATACTTTGGGCATGTGGCCAAGAGAGACTGGCTCTTGGAGAAGGACATCTTGATTGGAAGGGTGGAAGGCCAGCGCAGCAGAGGAACATCCCAGTTGAGACAGATTGAGACAGTAACTGCGGCAGTGGAGTTGGTGTGCTGGAGTCAGTGAGACTGGATCAGGAAAGGGCAGAGTTCAGAATTGAAGTACATAGGGTCACAGTGGGGCACAGGTGACTTGATGGTACATAACAACAACAGAGTGTGTGTGTGTGTGTATTTGAAATGTATAGTTTTCTCTTTAAATATTTTAACCCAAGCTAATCCTAGGTAGCTCTGGTGGCCTAGTGTTAAGGAACTGCTTTGCAGTCCCAAAGGCACATGGTTCAAATCCACCACCTGTTTTTTGGGCGAAAAATGGTCACTCTCCTTCTGTGTAATTAAGCTGCCTGTGAAAACCCACTGTAAGGTCAGCTTTCAATCCTAAAAATCCTCAAAAAGCCTGCAAAACAGATAAATCGGGTGGCTGGACTTTATAAATAAGAATGTGGGCTCAAGATTGGAGGAGGACTCGTCAACAACCTGCATTATGCAGATGACACAACTTCACTCGCTAAAACAGAAAACTTGAAGAGTTCCCAGAAGAAGTCAAAGATTGCACCCTTCATTCAATATGGATTTCATTTCAACAAAAACCCAAAAATCCTCATGTCACGGCCAATAGGATGGAGAAAAGACTGAGGTTGTTAATGATTTTTGTCTTGCTTGGATCCATAATTAACACCAACAGTCTTAGCACGGCAGTCACAAAATCAAAAGACGAGATGCGTTGGGAAGATCTGCTGTCAAGGATCTCTTCAGAATGCTAAATAGCAAGGATGCCCATATAGATATTAAGGTGTGCCTGATCCAGTCCAAGGCCTTCTCAGTTGCTTGCTATGCATCTGATAGCTGGACAGGGACTAAGGGTGCCAGAAGAAGGATCGATGCCTTTGAGTTGTGGTGTTGGGGAAGAGTGTTGAACATACTATGGATTGCCAAGAGAACAAATATGTCTGCCCTGGAGAGGGTGAAACCACATTGTAGGCAAGATTTTAAACTTCCGTCTCACATGCTTTGGACATGTTGCCAGGATGAACCAGTCCTTGGAGAAGAACATCATGCTTGGAAGGGTGGAGGGGCAGTGCAGGAGAGGAGGACCCCGGAAAAGATGGAATGACCCTGTGACTGTGGGGTCAGGTGTATCAGAGCTGGTGAGGCTGGCTCAGGATAGGGCTAGAGTCAGAGCCGTTGTTCATAGGGATGTTGTGGGTCATAGTTGACTCAATGGCACATAACGAAAATCATAAAATTATATTTTTAAACTTTGAGAAATTTTTCTTAATGTATTTGAAAGGAAATACAAAATTAGGTACCTCTGTCATTATATTTGTTTTAGATTATCTTTTCATTTTTACTTGTAATATTCAGAGTATGTCATGATGTCACTTATGATTCGAACACGTAACACATTGCTGCACACTTTTAATTGACGACCGTGCTTAGAAACACATTTTTTCTGTGTATTACCGTCATTTGTGCAATTAATTCTGTGATTGATACTTCCTCTTTCCTAAATCAATTCTATTTTCTATTTTTCTGTCTCAGCATATGACATAATTATCCATGCAGCTGAAAAACCACACACTTGAAAGTTATCCTTGAATCTTTTCACTGCTTTATCTTAAATATGTAACAAATTGCCACTTTATAGATTTTATTTCCATAATACCTTACTCTTAATCATTTTTCCATTCCTATTAAGACCATTCCAACTTATACCCTAATTTCTCCCCCATATTACTTGAGAACCAATGATTCTTTTTCTGCTAGACTCAGCATATAATTTATTCCTCCTGCTAAATTACAATGCCTCTTTAAAGATTAAAGGTAGATATAATTATTTTGATGTTTGAAATCTTTGTTAATTTCTCTTTCCCTTTAGGCCTGATGCATACTCCTTTGCATGGTTTACAGATTCTCATTACTTTTCAAACCCTTCTCTCTTTTTTGTTATTTGTTATGTAAACACGTTGCCACAAATGACAGCAAATGTGTTTCTAAGCACGGCTGTCAGTTTAAAAAGTGTGCGGCAACGTATCCATAGTCTTTGGACAAGGTGGTTTCTTTCTTTGGAGTCTGAAATGTGTATAAACTTGCATTTGACCACACAGATTCTCTTCATTGTTTCTAGGGTTTTACTTTTCCTGTGAAGTCCTGCTTGTTTTCAGCCACCTTTCTACTCAGTGTTTTTCTGAATGTACTTTTGTAGGACCTTATTCCATGCAAAAAAACGCTGTCACTGTATATTTACTTGTGGATTTTTCTGTCTCTTAATAGACTGTAAACTCCACAAAATGCAAAACTCTTAATTGTCTTTAGCACTGAAAATTACAAGTTGTTTTCTAATACTGTAAGCATTGTAGATTCTGAGTAAATAGTTATGGTTAAAATGAACTCAGTGCTGTTTATAATTACATACAGGCTGGATTTTAAAATGAGTTGAATCTTAATAAATTAGATAACTTTTTTTACTGTGCAATTGTTTTTTTATTATGCTAGTTTATTTACAAAATTTGAATATATTGTTTTTCAGACTAAATTTTTCCAATTTCCCTCACCCCCCACCCATCAAATTGTACAACCCCATGATTAATAGTCCTACACGGATACATCCTCACCCCTCTATTTACACTCCCACTCCCTGCCTTATATCCCCATACTCATTCTACAATAACGATTTTTATACAGTATTTATCCTTATGGGGCAGAGTTAGGCCATTCAGCATAATACTGTCCAGTCCCTTCCAAGTTAGACAATAATTTACAAAATCATTGCTCCTGCATTCTGTATAGTGCTCCATTGTGTGAATCTACTACGACTTCTTAATTCATTAATTTGTGGTTGGACATCTAGGCTGTTTCCATGTTTTTGTGATGGTGAATAATGCTGCTATGAGCACCGGTGTACAAGTCTCTATTTGTGCTTCAGTGCTCATTTTTTGGGGGTGTATTTTTGGAGTATATTCCAAGCAGTGGAATACCTGGGTCATATGGAATTTCTGTGTTCAGCTTTTTTGAGGAATCACCAAACTACCTTCTAGAGTGGTTGTTACATTACACAATCCCACCAACAATGTGTAAGGGTTTCTATCTCACCATATCCTCTCCAACATTTGTTACTTGCTGTCCTGTTAAACATTTCCACTGTTAGTGGAGTGAGATGGTATCTTATTGTGGTTTTGATTTGCACCTCTTATTGCCAGTGATTTGGAGCATTTCTTCATGTGTCTGTTTGCCATCTTCTTCTGTGAAAATTCTTTCCATGTCGTTTGTCCAATTTTGTAATTGGGTTATCAGTCTTTTCCTTATGGAGGCCCAAGAATATTCTGTAAACTTTTGATATGAAACTCTTATTTGAAAGAATATTACCAAATGTTTGTTCCCAGTCAGTAGATTCTCTTTTCACCCTGTTGTAAAAAGTTTTTGATGAACACAGGGATTTAATCTTTAGAAGGTCCCATTCATCAATTTTATCCTCTTCAGATTGTACATTTTTGGCTGTATTTGGCAGTTTCATTATACCGTAGACTAGGGCTTCTAAGTGTTATCCCAGTTTGTCTCTTATGAACTCTGTGTTCATTATACCAAAGACTAGGGCTTCTAAGATTTATCCCATTTTGTCTCTCTGAACTGTATGGTTTTCGGCTTTACTCCCAGGTCTCTGATCGACCTTGAGTTGATTTTTGTGTATGGGTTAAGATGTGTATCCCATTTCAGCTTTCTGCAGGTAGCAGTC